TTATTTTTTTATTTAATAGTATATTTAATATTATCTATATTTATGTATGTTTTATTTTCATTTTATTCTTTTTATTCATTATTATTACTTTTTCATCATTTTTAATCTATATATTTGTATATATATTTTTTGTATATCTACTATATTTTATTATTATGTAAATATACTATTAATATTTTTATCCGTTTATTACTATATTTTTTTTATTTCTTATTTGATTATTTTTTATTATATTGTATATATGTTTTTTCATTTTTCTTTTACTTTTTACTTTATTTTTTTATTTCATTTTTTTATTCTTGATGTTCATTTTATTTATTTATTTATTTTAAGTGTGTATGGATTATTACTACTTTATTTGTTATTTTTGTTTTTAATTTTAATTTTATTTGTGTTTTGTATTCCTTTTTATTTTCTTCATCTTGTTATATTCATGTTGAATTCCCTATTTCTTTTTCATTTTCTATTTTATTTATTTTCATTTCTTCTCTAACTTGTCTTTTGACTTTTAAAAATTGTACATTTTCAACCAATCAATGATAAGTTTTGGATCGTTATTTTACCTTTCAATTTAAAATTACAACTTTCTTAATTAAAGACAACTGGAAATTACACAGTACCGAAAGGGTAGTTCAAGGTGTTAACCCTTCCTTGACTGTAACCGACTCCCTAATCCGACACATTTTTAGTAAGACGCAGATCAGATAAGAAATAAGGTATCTGGTCAACCTATTTATTTCTAAATAAATTATCGGTGGCAACTCCAATCCATTTAATCCACGTCGAAGCCCAATTTCGAGACCAACCGAAGGACGATTCCGACATTAATGAACGTAAGCTTCTGTCTTTTAACACCTTCTTTTCGTTCATGTTTTTTTTTCTTTTTTTGAAGCGGTTAATATTTCCCGTGTTCTTCAACTGTTCGATTAAATGTCTCTGAGAAGCCTTTGTCTTCAAAAGTTTCACATGTTTCCTCGTACATAATTTGTTTCCTGTGAAATCAATGTGTCTATATATGGTACTTCGTATATTTTCTTAATTTTGAGTTTTTTTTTTAAATTCTAACATCTTGTTTGTCGTTAAGTGAGCAGTAGCAAAAGTTTGTAGCTATTGCTGATATAATTTGAATGTATGATCTAGCTTCCTTTAATGGATAGGTACCTAAAGGAGCAGGATTTGTGTTGTTAAAAGGATGGTGAAGCTTTCAGCTTATTCTTTGATGATTTCTTCATTCACACCTTCTCATTCTATTATCCTTGGAAAACCTCGCAGATTTCTTATAAATATCCGTTTCGACCATTCAAATAAATCAAGGACCATTTCCTATTCTCAAAACATTTGAATACATACAGAAGACGTGATGGGTGCGAACCGATATCGTCCTCCTCTAGTTAGGTAGGCAACAAAATCTATGGCTTCAACTCCCCTTTCCCCCTTCAAGCACTCTATGAATGAGAATATCTTTGTTGTATGGATTTACAGCGTAGCACCCATGATGGAATGGACTGATAATCATTATAGGATGCTTGCTCGCCTCATCTCGAAACATGCGTGGCTGTACACAGAGATGCTTGCTGCTGAAACTATTGTTTATCAACAAGGGAATCTGGTAAGTTTGTGAATGAAACATTTACTTTGTAGCATGATGCACGTAGGGGAATCTTAAGTTGAAATCCCTTGGATAAATTCAGAACACATATAAAGATGGAAAGAAAGCAGTGGAAATTTTTTATGTATGTTGGATTTCTCTGCCTGTATTTGGTGAAATAATTTGGTTCCCGAACTTAATTAAGCTTGCTAGTGCTGAAATATAAACTGTTAATCATTGCTGATTCTCTTGATCTTGACTTTTTTGATTGCTCAGGACAAGTTATTGGCATATTCTCCTGAACAGAATCCTATTGTCCTTCAAATTGGTGGGAGTAAATTAGAGAACTTGGCAAAAGCCACTGAATTTGCTAGTGCATACAACTATGATGAGATTAATTTCAAGTTGGTACCATTTTTTTACATAATTTTGTTCACTTCCTTTTCGCTTTGCAATTTTCTCAGCTGATGCATTTTCTTTTCTTTGTTTTTCACTATTGTTCCTGCCCTGAAACCAGTTGTGGGTGTCCTAGCCCAAGAGTTGCTGGGCATGGGTGCTTTGGTGTTCGGCTTATGCTTGATCCAAAGGTTTGATAGCAGTTCTTGTAAATTTTAAAATAACAAGCTGATTAGATAATGTTTTTCTTTTCCAATGTATTGTGCTCCTACATGTTCGTTTTTTACTTGCAAGGAAAGTTTGTTGGAGAGGCTATGTCAGTCATTGCTGCCAATACAAATGTTCCTGTCAGTGTTAAATGCCGGATTGGTGTTGATGATCATGATTCATATAATGAACTCTGTAAGTTTTCCCAATATTACCTGTTTCAAAACTAAATCAGATGATTGCTGTTGTTTTTCCTTTCTGGTATTTAGGAAAGGAGTGTTCCTATCATTGTATTTAGTCATTGCTTTTCCTTTTTTGGGTTCAATTACTTCTTAAGTCCCTATTAGTTTTGAAACTAGGTAAATTAAGCTCCTCTATTTTCGGTTTAAATACTTCTTAGGTCCTTATCAATTTTGAAATTAGGCAAATGAAGTTGTGAGCCCCCTTTTTGGATTAAATACCTCTTAGGTTCCTATCAATTTAAAAATAGGCAAATTAGACCTCAATACCCCCAATTTTTAAAATTTAAATTGATGACTTAACAATTAGATCTTGGCCCCCTTTTACTTCTATTTATATACCCCCCCCCCCAAAAAAAAAAATCATCCTGGTTTTGTCCCTAGTCGATGGCTTCATTGGATGCTATATTTTCCTTTCTCCATTTCAGGTGATTTTATCTACAAGGTCTCTAACCTTTCACCAACTAGGCATTTCATCATACATTCACGGAAGGCTTTACTGAATGGAATTAGCCCAGCTGCTAACCGAAGAATTCCCCCACTAAAGTATGTTTCCATATTTGTTTATATCAAATAGTTCTGTTTCCTTTCCCGTTCATATGAATTGATATGCAGCTATATACTGAATTCAGACGAGAGTTCTATTATGCACTCTTGCGTGACTTTCCAGTCTTAACATTTACCATAAATGGAGGCATTAATTCCGTTGTTGAGGTAAACATTTGTCAAAACCGTGACTCCTTTAAATAATTAGTGTTCTATATTGTTATTTGATAACCATAAATGTTATGATAGGATCATATTCTGCTATTTCTTACACTATGATGAGAGTATTTTCCTCCATGGATTCAAATTGAAGGGATTTTGCATTCTTTTGAAGGGATTTTGCATTCTTTCTTTTGTGGATCTTATTGTTATTTCATTCTGCAGTTAGCAACTACCATTAAATAATAGATGTTGGATGTTGGAAAATTGAGCTTGACTTCTGCTAATTGATTTACCCTTTGAAAAACAGATAGGGAACAGAAAACTTCTGTAGAAATGAAAATGTATTTTTGGGTGGCTTAGAATTCAATTTGCTTGCGTCTTTAACCACGTCTGCATCCTTTTTGGCATTGCTCTCCTAACTCCCGTCAGCGCTCTGACATGTGCAATCTGTATTGCATTATTTATGAACATTTAAAATTGTAGGCAAATGCAGCACTAAGAGAAGGAGCTCATGGTGTTATGGTTGGACGAGCTGCATATCACAAGTATGTGAAATGCTTTTCTTACTTATTGCTTTCTATTAAGCATTTGTCTTTTTTTCTGTATTTACTAAGCCTTACCTTCTAATCTACTATTTTTTTCTAACTAGTATTAGCTGACTAAAAGAAGTTGGTTATCTTAAACAGCCCTTGGCAAACTTTGGGACGCGTTGATACTGCAATATATGGTGCACCAAGTAGTGGCATTACACGCCGCGAGGTTGATGGAAGATTGCTGCCCTTAATTCATGCTTTTTGCTCAATTGTTATCTAGTTAGTATCCTCTTATTGTTTTTATTTCTACTTTTAGATCCTTCAGCGATATCAAGAATATGGACTCTGTTCTGGGAAGTGATGGAAATAATAGACCCAATGTTCGAGATGTGGCAACGGTAGGCAGTTTTGTCAGTTTCACAGCATCATTGCAAAATTGATGCTGTTAATGATAATTGCAGATGGTTTTCAAAACCTTCAAAAGCGGACCGATATTATCATCTGTATTGGTGTTATTATTTTTTTTATTTTGGTTTGGTCATGTTTTTTTTTGGTTTATCTTTATTTTGATATAGCCTTTTTCTCCCTTTACCCCTTTACCTTCAGCTATAGTTTATCTTAGCGAATTTGATATAATATCTGCAGCCTCTAATCAACCTTTTTCACTCGGAGCCTGGAAACGGTCTGTGGAAGCGCCAAGCTGACTCTGCTTTCATGCATTGCAAGGTACGGAATTTGTTTGTGGATCCAGAAATTTATAATTTCTTAATGTCTGCCTGACACAGTTTTTGTTATTGCAGACAATGAAATCGTTCTTCGAGGAAACGCTCGTGGCGCTACCTGATTCAGTATTGGATGCACCAATTGCTGGGGGGATACCATCCGGTCGTGAAGATCTATTCGCCGATGTACATGATTTAATGTCACCCCCATTTAACGCGAGAGAAGAGGAAGCATTGTATGCTTAGATTTATAATGTCCTAAATTCCTCTGTTCCCATTGATATTAGTCTCAAATTTCAAATTCTTTTTAGGAATACAAACCTAATTGGTGCCGTGTATGCTGAATTCTAGTTATATCAATATTTAATATATATAAAATGACTTTTTTTTAAAAATCACTCACTAGTAGGTCATTTTGTTATCTGTTATCCTTTCTTGACTGGCCTGCCTGCCTTGAGAAGCAAAAGGTTATCTAGAGGGAGAGGCAGGATTTTTCTTAATTTGGAACTTCCACCCAAGGGATTTTAATGGCTACCATTCGACCTAGATAATACTAATGATGTGGCACTCATCTATTGGCCCAAAATCTTCTACTGATAAGATCTCATATTTGGATGCTGTTCCCACCACCTCATTTCATATGCTCCATATTCCTAGACTTGGACATTTAAATCTTCCAAATCAGAAATCCTTTGGCATCTGCAGAAAAAAAAATGGCTTCTATCACCATGACAGCACCATTCCTCAGCGCCACTAACCTCACAAAAGGTACCAGAAATGGCCAGAGGAGACTTGTTGTGGTCGCCAATGCTGCTAAAGGAGCTGAAGTGGAGGGTGTCCAGTTGAGCGGTGAGACCAACAATGCCAGGAGGGAGTTGATGTTTGCAGCAGCAGCTGCTGCTCTTTGCTCGGTTGCGGGGGTTGCGACGGCAGAGCCTAAACCGGGCAGCGCTGAGGCCAAGAAGGCGTATGCTTCTGTTTGTGTGACCATGCCAACTGCTAGGGTCTGTCGCAACTGAAACTGTGTATCGCTCGGCTAGTTTGGGCTGAAGCTTGTAATTTAGAGTGCTTGTAATTTCTCATCATTAAGAAACTAAATTTAATTCTGTGCTAAATATTAAGTGTGGTGATCAGAATGGTGACGTGTTGATTAGTTTCATTTTGCACTAGAATGTTTTTTTAGATCATTCTGATCTCGTTCGGAAACCAACACTCATAATAGTAAAAACTCTTCCAGTTCAGGGGATAGCAGATTAGCAATGCTCCTTTTTATCCCGAACCATTAGGCCACCATTTGATGAAAGTGGAGTGTTAATAGGCAGCACCAGTTTTGTTAATCTCATTCCGAACCTGCCCTTGCAAATGGTATCCTATAAATTGTCAATTTTCATAGAAATAGATGGCAGGTTTCCCATAATCACCAAGAGCTCCAATCATGAAAACACATTTCTTCATGTTTTTATCAGTTAATGTATTGATGTATAATAAATGGGATAGTGGTTTACAATGGTAAATAAATACGGTGGAAAACTAGATGGACATATCAATCGTTTGTGGTTCATCCCCTTTAGTGACAGTGGAGAGCCTCGGATCGGTCAGGGTCTAAATTGAGGGAGAAGTGGAATGTCTCCGGATAGAGAGTACTTAGAGAGACCTCTTCTTTTAACTAAGAATATATAAGGTTATTACATGTAAATATATATATATAAGGTTATTACATGTAATTAAGCACAAAAATACAAGGTCAATAAATTTTAGGGTAAACTACGCATTTGGTATCTAAACTATAAGTTTTGATCCGTTTTAGTACCTAAACTTTTAACTTTTTCAAAATCATATCTAACATTTAGTTTTATCTCATTTTAGTACTCCGTTGTTAAAAATTATCACGTTTAGTACCTAAACTATTAGTTTTGGTCCATTTTAGTACCTAAACTTTCAATCTTTTTCAAAACTTTCAATCTTTTTCAAAACTTAACGTTAAATTTTGAACGGGTACTAAAATGAAACAAAAACTAAAGCGGAGGGGTACTAAAATGAAATAAAAAATAAATTTTAGGTATGGTTTTTAAAAAAATTAAAAGTTTTGGTTGATCTTTTATTCAATTTCTTGAATGAGTTTGTAATATTTTCTTTGTATGATTATTGTATGATCTCAAGTGACAGTTTCTCGGTTATAGAAAAATATCCTAATTATTTGTTTAGTTTACACTTATTGTAAGACTTTCATTATAATTTTAAATATTTATTTTTTTAATAAGGCTAACAACTATTTACACAAAAAATTATCACGACAAATATATCACGCTTTGAATATATATATATCACATATTTCATAAAGTATAGTAAATGCATTGAAGGTTGCTAGATTTGTTGTCTTTATCACTACCATTATTGCAAGCACTATACTTTCTTTGATAAAACCATTATTATGACTACAAATAATGTTTATTCATAACAAATCAGTCAATTTCTGGGTTGGATAAATCTTGGATATTTGAATCAATTCGGGTTTAGTTGAGTATGAGTCCAATCGATATATATAAAATTATTTATATATCAACGTTGAAAATGTGTCTTTTACTTCTCAATCTTATCATTTATGCTCGTTTCATTCAAATTCAATTATCATTTAATGATGATAAGTTAACTTAAATCTGACATATAAGACGCGTTACAAATTATGACTTTTTTCATATTGGGTCGGTTTGAAAATTTTATAATGTAATTTATTTGGTAAACAATTATTCTAAAATTAATTAAATATAAAAAATTTCACTAAATTTTTAATATTTAATTAATAATATAATATTTTCCTTAAATCACAAGTCCATGCTTGGTAGGTACATGGATCCTATTATGCCGCAAGCTTGCAAGCTTCATGCACGTTTAGATTTCAGGATTTCCTTTATATATATACACACACAAAATGTGCCCAACTTATACCTTTTTTTTAGTTTAGTGCTTAACATTTATTTCGTTATAGTTTGGTACCTAATGTTTAATTACGTTACTCAAAATGAGTCAAACTGTGATAGACCATTAAATTTTGTTGTTAACCACTTCTCGATCACCAATTTTCTTTCTTTATTCTATTTCACTGATCAATTCTCCTTTATTTTCTTTGGGTTTTTAATTTTTTTTGTTTTGTTTTTCTTATATATATATATATTTTTTTTTGCATTTTCTTTTGTTTTCTATTGGGTTTTATTGATTGCACAGCCATCAGCTGGTGTCGAGGCTGCACCGCGCCTCCTGCAACCTATAAAGAACCTATCACCATCTGAGACATGTCGTTGGAACAAAATGTCACTGACATCAAGATGTTTCTCTTTGACGTATCGGTTCCACCCTTTGGTCAACACATAGCTTTGGTTGTTATTCCAATACGAGTAACAGAAACGCCAACACTTTCCCAACTCGTCCTAGTAACTCAACGGCAACCCTTTGTCACTTGACTCAACGCCGAGTGGGAAGTACTTCTCGACATGTTGTTAAGGAATAACAAGCTTGTTGAGCTTGCCCACATCGCTAGGGGTCAGGGGCTTCTCGAACATGGGTTCTGTTTCATGGCTTTGGTCCTCGAGCCCTTGTTCTTCATGCTGGTTGAAGTTGAAAGAGTGAGCGTGATTTGAAGAGAACATGAATTGTTTCAAGAGTTTTTTAGCCAAATATTTGTAAGGTGAGAGAACAAGAAGCACAGGGCGAGGGCTTTTGAAGAGGAAATATAGGGGGAGATTGTATGCAAGTGACATTTTTTAATGGGTTAACGGTCAAACTTAATAGTTCGTCACAATTTAGTCCATTTTGAATAACAAAATAAAACATTAGACACTAAACTAGAACGAAATAAATGTTAGACACTAAACTGAAAAATCTAACATAGGTTGGACACCTTTTGTATGCTTAAGCCTATATATATATAAGGGTTTATAAATTGACATAATGCAATAAAATAACCCTAACATTTGACAGTATTGTCAAATTTGTCCATATTATTTTTTTTGGAATATTTAACCCCCAAACGCTTCATTTTAGGTCAAAAAACACCCTCATTGAATGAAAACCGCTAGTCAACTGACGATCAACGCATGATGCTGACCAAACAAGAACACGCGGACCCATATGCTGATGTGGCATGTCCAGGTCATGATAGATGATGATGTGGCACTACCACATCATATTTTTAAATAAAAATTAAAATATTATTTTTAATATTTATATCCAATAAGATGATACGTGTCAACACCATATTGATTTAAATTTAAACCAAACAAACATGCTCTTGTGGGGGAGTTAAACCTGGGCTAGCATGCTTAAAATCCCAACACATAACCACCATGCCAAATATTTCATTTGTTTATCTTTTGCAACACAAAATATTTAACATATATATTATTTCTCTCATACATTTTATCAAATACTTTCTTCATCCCCTCTTGACAGTCTTCAGAGGATGGTTTGTAGAGAGAGAGAAACCTTAGGATTATTTTATTGCATTATGCCTAAATAGAAGACATAATTTGCCAGTTAAAGAATAATCATATCCCATAAATATTGTTGAAATGCCTTCTATTTAGGCATAATGCCAACCAATTCATGGCCCTGTCAAAATTGTTCTAAATACTGCATTGGCAATAATAACAATAAATATCAAAGTCTCATCATCAACTCTAACTCTTAGACATCCAAAAAACAATTCAAATAAAGCTCTTCTTCTCACTTCCTATGGACCCTTAAACTTTGGATTCTGAGACATGGCCATTTTCTATATTCTCAGCACTGGATTCTAGAAGAGAAAATATCATAGTTAGCAACGAGTCCAATGACATGTTAATGTGACACAATTAACCCGCAAAAGCAAATTCAAACTCGAGCAAAACTCAAAAAGGATCTAACAGGCCTGTTTTTTCAAGGGGTCGAAACAATCCATCACTTCGTTAATTATTACTGATTCATCAATATAGGCAAGTTCTTAAACTCTTCCATATAACAAGGGAATTTTGACAAGTATAACTACCAAGAAGTTCTCAAACTCTTCAATATACAAATGACTTTACTTTTGAGAAATATAACTAACAACAAGTTCTCAAACTCTTCACTTTGTTTTTCAAGGGACTTTCGCTTGAAAGGAATATCATTCTCCGTACTTTTAAGACTTATGGTAAATGTAAATCATCAAATATAGGTGAAACCTACACCAAGGACGGAAAGACGAGGAAGAGAGATGAAAAAGATGCATGATTATTTAATTGTTCTTTAGCTAGTTAAAGAATAATCATTTCCCAGAAATATTGTTGAAATGCAGCTATATAGGTAAGAAAAAACCTGTTCCAACACAATTCTTACATGCAAAAAATTCAATTACACTACTTCTACTCTGATTCTTAAAAGACATCAAGGTTCATGTGATATATATATATAAAGCAATATTCTAAAATTAACCAAGCAATCAAATTTCTGTTAATTGAAGAAACCTTTGGGGTTGATCAGCATCAGCTACAGCTTCAACAGGTTCACTCTTCCTCCAGCTCTTTTCAGCCGGGGCATGGCCATTAACGAAGCTTTTCTTTCGTTCTCTCTCTTTCTCCATTACAGTGACCGCTTCTTTGATCTTCATAGCTTCAAGCTTCTCATCAATCTCCTTCCAGTCTTTCCCCTTTCCCTTCAATACCTCCTCTCTCGGTCTCGCCTCACCGAAAGGATTTGCGCCTTTGGGCTTGGGCACCGTCGAGTCCTCCGTCACGGGTATTGTACTTGGCTGAAGAACAATCTTTGGCCTTGCCCCACCACTACCAGCAGCACCACTGCCAGCCTCCTCCTTTTTCTTTCCCCAATTATCCAAATCCCTAGGTGAATCCCTCGATTGCAGTGAATAAAAACTGCTTCTTCTATCAAAACCCGCACCAAATCTCCTAGGCGGCGGTGCACCATTGGGGATTCTATTATTACTCTTACTAGCAGCCCAGTTATCTACCTCATCAGCTTTGGATTGCGAATCGAAAAACCCTCCGCCGCCGCTTCCTCTCTCTCCTCTCAAATCCACCGCCAAATCCATTACCGGTGGGGGTCGATTTCTTAACTGACACCCAATTATCAATCTCATCAGCGCCTG